CCTTGATATAGTATTATTAACAGGCAACAGGTTTGTGAAGCACTATTCTCCGTCATGTCCCCATTGCAAGGCGATCGCTCCCACATGGCAGACTCTATACGAATACTACTATGTGAGTGCTCTATCCACGTTCGGCACGTTCGTACTTGGTCACTGTCTAACATGCGCTAGACATCGAAACCGTTATCCTCCTCTTCCGAGCCCTCCGATACTCAGTCCCTTAACTCCTTTCAAAATTTTTACAACTTTCACTTCGCTTCGATGAACTGTCTTGCATTTTCGGATTTCTGCAAGAGACTGGATGTCAATTGGTTTCCGACATTTTCCCTTTACCATAATGGCAAGCTGGTTGAACAGTTTGAGGGTGCTAAGACTATGGAAGGTCTAAGTGAGTTCGTTGAAGGCAAGCTAGAATCAATCCGACCTGGGTCTCGTCCTCCGAAAGGCGTAAAGCTTCCCAAGCCGGGCGACAAACAGGTAGACACGGAAGCTGCGCCGGACGTTCCAGCCGCCAAGGACAAGGACCGTGTGGCGGGAGTCAAGGCTGGTGAGAAGCATAATGAACAAGTCGCTCAGCTCGCCAGCACAGAGGCTCCGGTGAAATCTGCTACCCCTAAGGTGAACTCGAAACCATCCGCGCCTGCGAATCCTCAAGGTATCTCCGTTCCTCTTACAGCAGAGAGCTTCCAAAAGCTGGTCACGACTACCAGAGATCCCTGGTTCGTCAAGTTCTATGCTCCGTGGTGCCATCACTGCCAAGCGCTGGCGCCTGTTTGGCAGGGAATGGCCCGGGAGATGCAGCATGTCCTCAACGTTGGAGAGGTGAATTGCGACGCAGAGCCCAGGCTTTGCAAGGACGCTCGGGTGAACGCCTACCCGACAATGTACTTCTTCCGTGGTGGCGAACGCGTTGAATACACCGGTCTACGCGGTCTTGGCGATTTGGTCAACTACGCGAAGAAGGCTGTGGACATTGGATCTGGTGTTCAGGATGTCGACGCAGCTCAATTCAAACAGCTGGAAGAAAAGGAAGAAGTGATCTTTCTGTACTTTTACGACCACGCAACGACCTCTGAAGATTTTGAGGCCTTGGAACGTTTGACTCTCAGCCTGGTGGGTCACGCCAGATTGGTCAAGACAAGCAGTGCGGCTCTTGCCGAGCGGTTCAAGATCACAACCTGGCCTCGTCTCTTAGTATCCCGAGATGGACGTCCCAGTTACTACAATGCTCTGGCTCCCAAGGATATGCGGGACGTCCGCCAGATTCTGAACTGGATGCGCTCCGTTTGGCTGCCTATTGTCCCTGAACTCACAGTCTCTAACGCCCGTGAGATCATGGACGGGAAATATGTTATTCTGGGGATTCTGAGCCGGCGCCGCTCGGATGATTTCATCCTTGCCAAGAGAGAATTAAAGAGTGCCGCTCTGGAGTGGATGGACAAGCAAACCCAGTTGTTCCGATTGGAGAGACAAGAACTTAGGGATGCTAAGCAGCTACGTATTGAGGAGGCAGAAGACCGCAATGACCAACGTGCCTTGCGGGCTGCTAAGAACATGCGCATTTCTATCCGGGAAGATGACAAGAAGCAAGTTGGATTTGCCTGGGTTGATGGCGAGTTCTGGGAACGGTGGCTGAGGACCACTTTTGGTATCGATATCGAGAACGGAGAACGGGTCATCATTAACGACCAGGATGTAAGTATCATTCGAGAAGTGCTGTGTTTGCCATTACTGACCACATCTCCACAGAACCGACGCTATTGGGACGCCACTTCTAGTGGAGCTCCGATCATGGCCTCGCGAACCTCCATCCTTGAAACGATTCCGCTGGTCATTGCCGACTCGTCGAAGTTGAAGCCCAAGTCCACAGTCGGAACATTCGAATACATATTCTTCGTCACTCGGTCCTTTATTTCCAGCCATCCCATCATTTTCGTCGCATTGTTGACCATGAGCATTGTTGCCGTCACTTACTTGGCTCGAGCAAGGCTGGCAAAGCGCGGTCTCAGTCGTGGTGGCATCCTCGGTGCGGTTCAGAGCAACAGTGCCGGCTTTTTCCGTCTCGATGGGAAGGAAGGTCTACTGAATGGGGGCGGCACCGGAAAGGTCGATTAGATCGTCAGCATCAAGCGCATTGTACAGTTAGGTTTTGTTTCCCCGGTGTTGTTTTTTATTGCGTATCTCCATATTGCCTTCTCGATTTTGCCATAATCACTAAATGGGTCTCTTCTTTTGGTACGGACGATGCCTCTCTCATCTTCTTTTCCCTTATACAACCCATTTTCTTTTTTCGTTATCGTTGATTTTGATTGAAGTGGTGTTGGCATGTGGTGCACTCTACAAAGGAAATCTGCTGTGGGATTTTGTCAATACACGGCGGGCAAAAGACACATAGACAGCTATGCAAATGAATACATGTCTGTTTCCTGTTAGCAGGGAGCAGATGGTGCGAAGTGTCAATCTCATATATTCATGGACGTCATCACAAAATAACTCGAGTAACTTGGTCGATACTCTATGCACATCATATTCCTGCCATGTGTGCTTCTTCTTAGTTCAGATTCATAATGTCTTTTCAATATCCATCGATCTAGATCGTCTTGACTCTGCCTACCTCTCTACCTATTTAAAGAATCGGAAATCCAAAGCCTCCTATTTGACACCGTCATTGTCACGTGAGGGTTTTCGTGTCTGCTGATTGGCCGCGGGATTGCCGCAAGTTGCAACATCGGAGCCTCTCGGTTTTCGTCGAACAACCATTGCTCTCGTCGTTCATTCCATCGCTGGAGTAGTCCTTGTGTCCAGTGTACCTATACACAACTAATAACAAGATGGTACGTGTTGTATGGAAACGATTCTTGTCGATTGAGTTTTCAGCATGCTTGCGAAGGGCACATGAATGGCGCTTGCCCGCATAACTACGGCCTTCAGCCTGCTATGCCATCCCGATGCTGTCGAAGAAGAGGGCAGAGTGTTCAATTGCTGACGAGTTCCTGCCTTTCTAGTTCTCGCAAACTCTCCGTCGCGCTGCGTCCCAGTCTACTGGCGCCTACCGCTCTCCTTTCGCTCCCAAGTGAGAACCCCCTCAAGAATTGATACCCTACCTGGCATATCACACGGAGGCATTTGGTATTCGGGCGAGGCCTATGGACTGTCTCGATCGTGGGTCAATCGTTTGTTCATTGACAAGTGATCTGGCCCCCATTTATATGTCCGAACTGGTGATTTGATGGGTCTTCGTCATTTAAAAGCACAGCCTCTTTGTCGCAGAAAGACGAACAATGGAAACGGGGATTTACTGACTGTGGTGCTTGACGAAATTAGGTACTACGTTCCTGCCCACTTCGGGGGTGTGAGCGTCAACATGGCCACCAAGTAGTGAGTCTCACCTTTGGTGTTTCTATCAAAATGCTATATGAGCGGACAGACTTCCGGAAACCCTACACGCTCGTCTTATTACCGTTCCATTCTAACATGCTTTGGTCTGTAGCGCTACCATTGCTTCCACCTTCGGTGTTGCTGCTGGTACCTTCGCCCTCTTCTTCTTCGGTGAAGTGCCCCGCGTGCGCAACGACATCCTGCGCAAGGTTCCCTTCCTTGACGAGTACTTCGACCGCAGCATCCCTGCCGAGGACAACGTACGTACCTTTGAATCATGTTAGACACTGTTCTGACGATTTGCTGACCGTTCACTAGCCGTTCTAAACGTCTTGCAACTTCCGCGCCGTTTTCCTTGACCCGGAATGCCACTTGTATGGTTGGTCATCTGCTTGCGTTACCGGCTCAGTGGTGAAAACAAGGAATCGGTACTGTATTGTGTAGAATAGCGATGGGTTTTTGATAGCACATAGACACGCCTGGTCACCATCAAGATTTTCTCCTTCTCTTTCCTTCTTTGGCACCGAAATAAGGCTTAAATGTCAAGCAACAGCAACATACGTTTATGACTTTGATCTGTTCGAATATCCCCGGGGTCCTAATATTACACTAGTACCAGCGACCTGAGTCTTCGCTTGGAGGTCTTTTCTGCATGGGTAAGTTCAGCACCGAAGCCACACTTATGGGCATGTCCTGTCATCATCTGTCAAGTACCATTCCATCAAGCCTGTCGATTCTTTTCCCGCATAGGCAGGTGTAGCCTGACGAGTAGCTCAAGTCAAGCTACTTTTGCTCTAGAGAGAGGGTGATTGTCCAATAAACCTGCGTCTTCCGGCCGCTTTGACTGCATTTCCCCGGAATCCAACGAAAACGAACAGGGGCGCTTATCTGGCACGCGTATCTCTCTTCCTGTTATCAGCCACCGTGACTCTCTGGCAAGTAGAACGCAGCTTATTCAACTCGAATTGATAAGGGGATTTGCTCTGATGTTTCCGGCTTGTTAGTCACCTGTTAACCTTGTCGAATCTCCCTGGGCTTCGTTTGTATCCCCGCCGCCTGAAGATTCCTCCTTGGGTTTGGACTCCTCGCCAAGCTTTCTCTTGAGTAGGATATCTACGAGGCCATCGATGCTGTTTATGCATTAAACCAGCAGTAGGGCGGGGGATTTATTTTTATTCGACATGACACTCCAATATGACCCGCCCCTTGAGGGTGATGATCCCGTCGCAGCTCTGATAGTCGAGAGCCCAGCGTGACCAACGCGCCAGCGTATCAGAAACTCTTCCCCTCATTCTTCCTAATCTTTCACGTTATCTCCCAGGTAGTTTGGTCTCACTATCAACAGCAATGGCCCAAGAGTCTGGTTTTCGTGCCGACGGGCGGGCTTTATGGTCGGTGTGGATGATTATATCTACTGCTAGGCATCCCTGCTTTTTCTGTTGAGCAACAAGCGTCAGCTCATGCAAGGTGCTATCATCAGAACTACGTTTTATGGTTACACAAGGCTGGATTTGTCTGCTTTAAGAAGGTAATGAGACGCCTTGAGCTCGTCCTTTCTGCTACCATTGTTCTTTCCCTCCGTGGACACGAGTAAGACTTGCAACAGACTGGAAGTTGACGCGATGTCGTCTACCAAGGTCGCTTCCAAACAGGCGGTTTATCAAGATGTCGACCACGATCCCGTCACGTCTGTATTGCCAAACGGGGATATCCCGTACACGGATCATGAGATGGACGCGGACGAGCGGGTGATCGTGGCCCTGGGTTACAAGCAAGAATTCAAGCGAGAGTTCTCTTTGTGGACTACGTTCTGCGTCAGCTTTGCCGTGCTAGGGCTACTTCCCTCGTTCGCGAGCACTCTATACTATGGTAATAAGGCCTTGCTCTCCTAACACGGTGCATGTGCCCGGCGCTGACAGTGACTTAAAGGAATGGGTTATGCGGGAACAGCAGGCATGGTCTGGGGGTGGATCATCGCCATGATCTTCATTCAATGTGTGGCAATGGCAATGGCTGAACTATGTTCTGCAATGCCGACGAGGTGAGTTCATTGCATTTTTGCTTGTATAGTCGATGAAATGGAATGACTTACAGGATTAGTGGTGGCTTGTACTACGCAGCGGCAGTTCTCGCACCTCCAGGATACGGACCCTTTGCAGCCTGGCTGACAGGTTGGTCCAACTGGATTGGCCAAATCACAGCAGCGCCGTCGGTAGATTTTGCATTGGCGGCGATGATTCTGGCAGCTGCATCGATTTCCAACCCGGACTATGTACCAACCAGCTGGCAGACCTTCCTCCTCACTACGCTGATTATGATTATCCACAGCTTCATCAGTAGCATGCCGACGAAATGGGTCGCGAGGTTCAATTCATACGGTTCGACCTTCAACATGATGGCTCTCGTTGTCGTCCTCATTGCCATTCCTGCGGGTACGAAGAACGAACCAAAATTCAATCCGTCAAAAGAGGTATGGGGCACCATTACCAACGGGACGGAGTTTCCGGACGGCGTAGCTGTGCTCATGACCTTTGTCGGTGTCATCTGGACGATGTCAGGCTACGATTCTCCTTTCCATCTGAGCGAGGAATGCTCGAATGCAAACATCGCCTCGCCGCGTGCCATTGTGATGACCTCTGGGGTCGGCGGCCTCATGGGCTGGTTTCTGCAGCTGGTAGTCGCCTACACTGTCCTCGACATCGAGGCCGTAATTGACTCGGATCTCGGACAACCTTGGGCATCGTACTTGCTACAAGTCATGCCGCGCAAAACAGCCATGGCCATTCTCGGACTGACCATTGTCTGCGGGTTTTCCATGGGCCAAGGCTGCATGGTAGCCGCATCGCGAGTGACCTACGCCTACGCTCGCGACGATTGCTTCCCCTTGTCACGGATCTGGAAGAAGGTCAACGAGAGGACCAAGACCCCTGTCAACGCCGTTATCCTCAACACTGTTCTGGGTATTCTGATGTGTCTTCTTATTCTGGCGGGCGATGTGGCCATCGGAGCCTTGTTTTCCATTGGCGCCATTGCACAGTTTGTCGCCTTTGCCATACCCATTTCAATTCGGGTGTTCTTCGTGGGGAACCGCTTCCAAAAGGGGCCATGGCACCTGGGGCCATTTGGTCCGGCGATTGGAGGGCTCGGCGTCTTGTTTGTTCTGTTGATGGTGCCCATTTTGTGTCTTCCCAGCGTGAGAGGGGCGGATCTGACGCCTGACCAGATGAACTGGACTTGTCTGGTCTGGGGTGCGCCGATGCTGACGGTGACTATCTGGTGGGTCATCGATGCACGCAGGTGGTTCAAGGGTCCCAAGATCAATGTGGAGCATGTTATCCATGGCGTGGAGGCGATTGTGGATGTGGGGGTGGAGGTGGAGGATCAACGGAGCCAAAGTCAAGATGCAGCGAGCAAGTCTTCGAATACGTAGTCTTCTGTTGGTAACTATAGCTACATGTAATTCCCCTACCATGCTTACAACCTGTATGTATCTGCGTGTTTTCCTAATGAAATGTAGCGGTATACCAAATGCGTACATTCTTTCATAAGAGCTGACATGCGCTTACCCAACTGATTGTTGGTCTTCAAAAAGGCAGTGAGACTTACATATATATATATATATCTCTCTCTCTCAATAAGGCAGCAACTCGAACTGTCTTGGATCCCCAATAAATAGAGCCCCATGCCCAGAAGACAAAGTCATTCAAGAACATTGTTCCTACGCCCACTACAAGATCAGAACAAGACTTCCTCGGAATAAATATATATCCCCCATTCCTGCATTTGAATACCACTGTCTTCTCTAGTCTCAATACTGCATTGCCCGAGGATACGCGATTCTGCTGCCAATCCATCTTAACCAAAGGTCCCACCCAGCTTATCCCCCCGGCCACTGGGAGTATAGTATGAGCTTAGCAATAACATGCATGATTGATTCTACCGACCATTCCACTGGCTTGATGCAGCCTGCAAGCTCCACTCCATCCTGAAGAATGGAATATCTGCATACGTACGATAGCTGCGTCGATAGGTGCTCAAAACCCCACATACCGTGGGCAACGTAGTCGAAATAAAGAAATCTAGACTGCAGCGGATGGATCGCATATCAAACCGAGTCAATCATGAGACTGGAATAGAGATATTGCATTCAACTACGGAGTATGAATCTCATGAAGGCCATTGATTGTTTCTGCTGTTCCCGTCTGTAAGACTGTACCGTGTCTCGGTCTATATAAAGTAATCAGGTCTGATAAATATAGTAACCTCCATGTCTTCTCTGTATCAGATCTATCTTCATTTACTGGGGAAATTCAGGGGCAGGTGATCCGATCCTACTACCACCTATTGTTGATTTCACAAGGGACAATACCTATAGATTACAAAGCTTTATTCCGTGCTTATCGTGCCGAAAACTCACCCGACTGTCACTCGATTCATAGCACATGCAATGCGGCAGACTGCTAGTGCTATCCTCTCACTGAAAGCGCGGCATCCACATGCTCAGGCTACAGGTTTCAGGCGACAGCCTACAAACTATCGTGGGGTCCATTGCAAGTTACAACATGCTATCAAGTATCCAGCCATGGGGCTCAATGAGGTTATCCAGGCTAAGAAAGTATAATTTCGCTCCACGGCGTGTAGTTTACTCGTTTTGTCGATCATTGCGCCGTTTCGGTCTCAGGATTGACAGGGGTTCGTAGATAATAGTACTTGCGTTATTGTTACGACCTAGAGGGGTAGACGAGGACTTCCCTCCAGGTTATTAGCATGTTGCGACTTTGTCGGATCACGGTGTGAAAAGGGGCTATAGTAGATGTACGGTGGAGCTTCATATATTGGGGCATTTGTCTCGGAAATGTCTGTATCTCACCTCTACTCCTTAATCTCGACTCCTTAATGTCCAAAGACAGAGAGAGTGCAAGTGCACGGCCCAAGTCAGAGAGGCCCTGAGGGGCTGCGCGGTAGGGAGTACCTTCTTCGTTTCTGTTACTTTATGACGCGGCTAGTGATGATAAGAGGCGGCTGAGACCGATGATCTGATACACTAGAACACTAGGGATCCCTCGTGTAATACTAAATGCTGATTGCTGGCCCCTATGTATCAAGATGATCTACAAAGTGCAAACTGTACGGAGTAGATTGTTAGAGAGCCTGTAAACAATGACGTTGGCGGGGCTCACTCCGTCGTAGACAAGTCCCTCTAAGCATAAGCAATAGTTATGTAGATAAGCTGATTACTCAGCTATGCATATAAGATCAGCTAAACACCCTTAGTGCTAGCCTAGGCAGATACAACCTAGGTGACCTCAACCCCTCAACAAATCAGACAAAATTCAGCGCGCACAACTACCCGAACAAGTCAAGACTCCGCTTGGCATGAGGTGTGTGGCGCATTCGCCTTCAAAGGTTCTAAATTTTCTCATTGGCTGGCGTGCTGGACCTGAAAACTGGGCGATCCAGACAAAATCTTCGGGTTTACTCCGGTCCATTTTTCACAGGGCAAAACTACCGAGGGAATCCCTGGGCCGAGAGAATCCCGGATGGGTCGGAAGGCTTCAGATTTGAATGTAGCGTGGTGGACTGAACGATCTGTACTGATGTACTCCGTAGCGTAGGTAGAAACCTGAGCGGTTGTTGACTGCGGGATCTTTCGCTTTTGCCATTCAAGTTTTAATGAAGCTTAAGGATGGTAGGGGCAAGGAGCATTAGACGCGATCGGCTCTTGTTTCGTTGGGACAATGGCTATTTGAAGATTCGCCTTACGCAAATAACCACGGAGTAAAGGAAAACGTCTCGGGCGGTTAACATGGCTTAGTACAGCCATGTAACCCCAAGTCCCAATACCTTGATGAGTTGTCCAAGGTTCGGGCAATTAGTGAAAGGTCAAGCAATCAAATCAAAATTATGAAACAATAATGATCCTGAGGAAGTTGTCAGAAGAATCATCCTCAGCGGGATGGTACGGTAAAGGACTCAAGATACAAGAGTACAGATTAGGCCACACCGCCAAGTGCTAGTTGCATATTGGACGGTTAGACCACCCATTGAGTTGTCCTTCCGTGGAAGTTTCGATGAGCGGACCAGGGCTTCTTCAAGTGGAGCTGGATCCCCTTCGGGTTACCGGGATTGGACCGCCACATTGGGCGAGCTGCATTCTCCATCCTGGTTGTGGGATGCATCACGCATCGCCCTATCATCCTCGGACATCTCACATAGGCAGTTGGGCCCTGGAGTGATGAAACGTTGCTGTTTGTAACCATGGATGTACCGTAAGTGGCAACTCGAGCGAGTAAATTTAGACTCGCAGTGCAATATCTGTACGTTGTTAACAAATTGGCTTTTGGATTGACTTCCATTTCGGCTTGTTGTGGAAGTATGATTCGGTGTATCAAATAGGACATCGTATCATATTTCTGATAACAACTATTGATCATGTCGCGGAATTCCTTCACCTGCATCGACCGTCGTTGATAGTACTCTGTCGTGCTATGGATTGTATTGGTAGCTGCCTGAGGTAGCAGACTAGCAGGGTAGGTAGGCGGAATTCTGTATGAGAAACGATATTGCCGCGCTCTTTCCGCGCACCGCAGGACGGGAATGTATTAGGATGTATTACGGAGTACGGTACGTTGACTGCCCTGGAAATGGCTTGAAATTATGGTGTATTTGAATATTAAATTGCTAGATTATACAATGGAGACAGATATGCTCCTTCATTCCCCTTCTCATTCGTCGTCTAATGAATATCATTCTTTGACACCTATTGATAATGATTTGATTATCCCCAAGCAGATCAGACAGGCGAGCTTGAAGAACGATCTATGCAAAGATCCCGCCTCTGGTTGTGCCGTTGTGGTCCACAATCGAAGCGGGAGAAGCTCTCAGCGAAACTCTCCTGGTGGAGAATAACCGCCGGGCTTGTTGGGTCTAAAGGATGATGGGCCCATCTCATGATCTTGCAGTTGTAGAAGTAAACAGCTACAATATTATCAAGGGACTTCTTGACAACAATAACAACTTCTATCCTGGTCAATTGATTGCATCCCAGTTGACCGATTCGATGACGGTCTGGTAATTTTGTAACAAGAATCAAAATCTCTCAGACAGACTCTCCGTCTATTGCCGATATGATTAATCATACTTTCCTCATTGGGATGGTGGCGAAAGGCCACGACACCAAAACCACGGACGAGCTAATTAGGATTGGACGGTTTGGGTCGAGCTTTTTCTCAGTCGGTATTTGAGTCGGGCAAGTACGTAAGGTACTTTACGGTAGTGTAGACACTCCGTACTGCCATTCTCCGTTGCATTCTACCTGGTTGCTAGATACTCCTGCATAATTGCATAGATTACTGGGAAACATTGCGTGGTATCACTAAGATTTAGAATGCGAGGATAAGAGTGATGTTATATAGAGTCTAGATGGTCTTCAAGGCCGATGACAGTGATCAGCCATTTCTGAGATTATTTTTGCATGAGGATAGTCGTAACTGCGTGCGTACTTACACCTGGTCATCTTATTGTTGTTGTTGGAACAGAGAACATACTCGCTTCTATTTTCAGCTCGAAGGTGAAGGGGTGCGAAACCATTCGACTCTCGTCCAATGGGATTGATATAACCTCCTTGAGAACCAGGCCCATGACTTGGTACTTTGGTCGTATCGAATTATCTTCACGCCCAATTCTATATGTGAATCAGGAGAAGGAATCCAATTGCATGATCATATTCACTGAAAGCAAACTTCAATGCGGAGTCCAGAGATGCATTATTATCTATGTGAGCCGTTGCGCTCCACAGTGGTGACACTGCAGAAAGACAAGGGTCTAGACAAGACAGGAGGAGTAGTTGGTACTTTGTCGACGACAACTGGTCATGGGTCTTTATGTAGACAATATATTGGCATTGGCAGTCTACAAAATATTGTTCTGGTATCCGTACTTCAGAGAGTATTCGCTGTTTCAATATGTCTGAGTGACCACAAATACTCCATACAGACCGTCCCATAATAATATATTTACAGGGAAGGATTTGGTCAAGTTATGTCCAAACTAACAGGCATTGATATCGCCAAAATAACTGTGCAAGGCACCCCGTGCTGTCAGCGAGATATAAACATGCCAAAAGATGGAGTAGGTGGGCTATGACCCATATTCAGGTTGATCCCGTTCACTGAATCTAGGATCCGAACATGTACCACTCCACTCATCTCGACAGCGGTGATGACCATGATAAGGTTCTACCACTGCGAGCTACCATCCTCGCATGTGGGATCAATGTGGATGTGCCATGAGGATCCCGTTCAGCCCCTGAAGAACATTTGGAAGGGCGGGACTGTCAATTGCGGAGAACTGGTGCAAGAGCTGGAGACCCTCCACTTGAGCTTAAGCTTGACAATATCAACGAAAGCTGTGGAACAATAATCAGACAAC